AGCACCTAATTGCCATCTGTTTAGATGACACCAGTGGAGCACATTTCTTACGGCGACACCCCCTCTCCAGGTGAAAGCCCCACACTCCACTCCCAGGGCCAGTGGGTGTGTTGAAGAACTGACAGAGATATTATAGTAGCACCATTTGAGAGTACATCTTAGGATGGTGGGTGTGAAAGAAGCTTTTTAGTGAACAGCAGAGGAAGACTGCAACAACACTTCTCTGACAAAAATGCCTGAAATTGAATATGGATCAAAACAAAATAGGCTCAGTGGGACAACACTAAATGGGGGGAAAAAAGATCTAGTCTGAAGTGAAATTAGATTTGCTGTCCTGCAGGCATCTTGGGTTTTGCGTAGCAATCACTTTTATTTTTGAACAGCTGGTCAGTTCACTGCATCATGACTGAAGGTGTTCCTCCCCAATGGAAATTAGAGAACTAATAGAACCATAATGTCAGAATTTGCAGAAAGTCTTACACTACAGTAGTGTGTACTTCACCTCTAGAGGCCATTATGAATGTTTCACTAATGGTGGGATGTGTTATGTAAGTCATTCTTTATCTATTTTTATGTTTTATAATACAGAAAAATTACAATTAATGTTATAATAATTCATTTGCAAATGAAGTCAAATCTACAGCCACATTAGTAGCATCTAATGACTGAATGACTAACCCTTTCTCTTAGAAACTCATTTATATGGTATATTTATGTTTCTCCCACCTGAATTGTATTTTCATCAGCATAATTTGGAATCATTTTTAATGAATGAATATGCAAAAATATTCACATGTAGTATATATTTTTGTTTTTCTGATAATATTCACATCTGAAATATAATATCAGTTTGAGGTTTTTCTTATAGTTGTGTTATAAGCTCTCACAGTATTTGGTTAAGGTGAAGGAAATGTATTGGTAAAGCACAGAAACATGACTTGAGATACAACACATTTATTGGTCTTTTTGAGAATGAACATAAATCTGGCAGAATTAAATTTTTTTCAAAACTTGGTTATAGACAAACATATTACACTATAATATGCTGTATAAGGGTCATTTTGAGGAGGTGGAGTTGAAATGAGCTGATTTGACTGACACTGAAAGTGACAGATCTAAGTGGACATCGATTTTGTGAGGACAGTATTTGTTTGTTTTCATAGTGCCAAGACAGAAAAGAGCAGCAGGCTGCTGTGGCATCTTTAGTTGCTAAATAAGACTTATTTTAGGACAGAGATTTCAAATGAATGAGAAACTGTTTCCTCTTGCTGTTTGCAAAGGGGATGATACCGTTCATGTCAGCAGTAAAATGACCTAAGGACAAAAAAACGTTTTGGAAAAGAATTGAGGTAGAAAAGGAGAAGTGGATGTGTAATGATCAAACTACAGTATTTGATCTGAGGAAAATGCAGCCAGATCTGGGTTACTCAATAAGACAAATGTTTTAGTGTTGAAAAATTCTAAACACCAAAGGTATGATTGTACACCTTTTTTGTAGATTCCACTGCAGAAAGGGGAGTGAAACTGAAATGCAAATATGCCCTGTAGTCTGGGATTACAAAGACATTCCTTATACAAGAGAGGTTGAAATCAAAGTCATTTAAATAGTGTATTATAACAGTAGAGTTGAAATGCATAATAAAAAGACAATAAACAAAAGGAGAGTTCCAGGAAAATTGCAGAGATTGGTGTATGGAAAAAATAAAGCTGAAACTCGACACAGGGTTTCCTCTTACTCCTGCAGAAGTGCAAAGCTAAACTCTTGCTTGGGGCAGAACATAGCAATCGCTGCACAGTGTGTCATGGAAAGAGAAAATTGTCAAGCGCTTCAGCACGATAATCAAGAAGTATGCATAAATAGCAGTTTATATCATCCTTTGTACTGCAATCTAATGGAAATAAACATATGAAGCTTAGTTTGTCATTTGAGGAAGATGTAGTTCCCTTTTAACTACACAAATATATTCAAATTTGCTAGTCATGAGCACTATTTTACCTTCTATTTACAGTATGCCAGAATATTTTTGGCTGTAATATGTGTGCTTGTTGTCCCATTTGTCTTCTGTACTTGCACAGTGACATATTGTGCATACAAAAATGCTTGTAGTCTAGTTTATTTCTCCTCTAAAAGGCTTAGTAGGGTAATTGTTGACTCTCACTTTGTCCACTCTACCTTCATTATAATATCAATTTAGTGGTACTTTATCTAGGCACTTAAACTGCAGTGTAAATTGTGGGTTGTATTTAAAAGTGTTGCCAATGACAATAAAGATACCAAGGCTGAGGGGATTTAAACCTGCATTTGAGTTGTTCATACATGTCCCAGTCACATTTATTAGTGCTTAGTTTAAATTATGAACATGGCACTCCTGTTTCTGGTCAGTGTTTAAACACTTTAAGAGGAGCAGCAATTTCTTTGATCACTGCTGTATTGTTGTTTTAGCTCTTTTTATAGCAGTCATTGCACATAAGCGCACCATGTGCTCTCACATCTTTAATGAACATTCAATAGAATTGTCCCTCTTTGGTTAGTTTCTTGGCAAACAGCACAGTCTTCACCACAATAGATGTTTTAATGATTTCACCCAGCCATGCACACTATTGCTCCATAGAGGAGACAATCAACTGTCAAATCATCTGGACTTAGATTTTTTGTTTTTCTAAACCTAAAACTCTTGGGTTTTTTTTTTCCACTTCTTGACCACATTATGAGCGTTGCTTTGAAAAGTGTTCCTTCTGATCCAGTCATGTACTCTGACAAATTATTAACTCTGTAATCATCAGTCCATAAATGCACTGTTGCCTGTAATGATGTACTTCTGAGCTAACCTGTTAAGACACTTTCCGTCAGTTTCACTGAAGGCCCAGGGGTTACTTAAAACCCCCTCCTTTAAGATATTGTGGTAATCAAGTAAGTTATGAAGTATTAGGCTAGAACTTGCCCTGTATTGGTAACAGTACTCCTTTTCTATACAATCACACACTTCATTTGTCCTGAGCAAATTAGACAGCTAAAAAAACAGTAAATCATTGAAAATTCACCAGATGACAAATTATTGTGAATGCATTTGTCTCTGCAACAGCCTGTCTCCATACAAAAGATTTACTTCTTCCAAATGTAACTACAGTACCTCATTTAATAGACACTAACAGAGTCTGCTCATGTGATAATGGCAGCTTAAGTTACAGTATTAACTGTTGCTGTCCTGACATTTTACTTTAACACTTGCTGACACACACTGGATGTTGCATTTATCTGATCCCTGTTCAGTGCAGCCACTGAGTGGTTGAAGGAGCAACGCAAGTGACACAGTGAAAAACAATGAAACCTACAGACAATAAAACCTTTGTCTTGCTTGTAAAGTGATTCATAATATGGTTTATTTGTATGTTTGTGTTAGTTTTTGGATAGTGGTTGGCCAGCTAAAATGTTATTGTTGTAACTGAACTGCTAAAGTGCAGAAATAATTCTTCTTCTGGGGCTTTTTGTAGTTACCAAACAGTTTCAAGTGCTCACCATACACACCAGAGTAGGTCCAATCCTGATTTCCATGTATGTTTGTTTAGTCAAAACCAAGATTTATTGATCAGATCAGGCCAACAGAAATACATACATAGTGTGTATTAGGGATGGGACAATATTTCGAAATTGAATGTATTGCTATTCAAAAACATAACAATATGCATCATTTTGTCTAGTGATATAGATCTTGTGGTCTCCATGCACCAGCGACTTCATATTTTTGGTGAATAAAACAGCCCAACAGAACCTAAGTCAATATAATCAAACCTGTGCTAGAAAAAGACGAATAAAGTACGAGTTTTCCGTAGCTACATTGTTGTCATTGAATTTTTAATCATATCGTGATTGAATCGAATCGTACACACCATAATGTGCATAGACTCGTATCGAGAAAAAGTCACTAATATGCATGTGGTTCAATGTAAATAAATGTCTTTTTTGTCTGCTTTTTATCTGGACATCAAACATACAAAATGTAAAAGGGGATTCTGGTTTTAATTTGAAATGGTTTTTACTTTGGAGGTTGCTTTCATAAACCCTATAGAACACCACTATCTGGGTTATTAATTATCATCTGATAAATACAGTACATACTCGGTCCAGTAAGTGCCGTGTTAGTGCTGCCTGATCTGAGCCCACTCTGAGATGTAATTAATCATGTTATTGTAACCGTTACACTGGGGCATAGTGTTGGTCTACTGAGGGCTACGAATGGCTGATTCTCATTCTACCCATCAGACAGAAAACATTTAGTCTCCACTGCTTCTTCAGTCTCCATTCTTGAGCCAGAACAGTTGTTTTTTTTTTACTTTTGGCCCATAGTATTTGTCAAAAAGCATTTCCTTTAACTGCTATGCCAGCAGTACTCAGTGCCAAGTTGTAGCTGTGCGCTGTCAGTAGTAAATGACTGTCTGACTGTCAAGAGATAATTATCCTAAAGTGGAGAATCTTGTTGTTTGCTCTACATATATATCCTGAGAAAATGTGTTTTAATACAATTTAAATCAATTTATCAAAATGAAATTGCAGAACTCTTAATGTTTAAACTGTGAGCACCACACTACAAAGTATTTCAGACATGGATTTACCATCTTAGACGGACACACTGATTACTCCGGTTTTGCTTTTAATAGCACAGAGAGCCTTATGTATCTTTAAACAATGTTTTGGAACATGTCTCCTTAACTGTTACAATGCTCTGGTTTTATAGTCAAATTATAAACAGTGTCATGGCTTCAGACTGTGCAGAGAAGATTATTTTTACTCTGACTAGATATGATCTTACTATGACTCTTTCTGCTGCTGTTATTGCAAACAATAAGGTGCAATAAGTAATTAATAGACATTTTGCAGTGCAGTTAAAGGAAGGAATGACAAAAATATGCAATAAGTTATAAGAACGGTTATGATGTTACAATGGTGAGAAAATGAGACAGCAGAAAACTAACAGTGTACTTTGACATCTCTTAAAATACAGAGGTTCGCACATTGGACCAATGGTCTATCCAGTGACGACAAGGGATCGTGGCATCTGGAGGTTGTTACCATGCCCTGAAGTGCCCCAGTCTTCCTGGTAAGTCAAAAGCTGGTAAGTCATTATATTCCCTTCACCTGTATCAAGTTCTTCCACACTGCTCCTCAACAGCTACACTAGTTGGCTTCTTTCAGTGTGATACCCTGAGGCAGTGCTGATGTGGTGAAACGTGCTGTGAAAATCCCCACAACTCTCTCGATCAATAGGATTTTTTTTTTTCCCCTCAGAAGTCTACACTGTGGGGAGTTAACTTGGGTGAATATCATTATAACAACGAGCAAGAGTAGTTTAAAATATGTGGCAAGGATTTTAACTCTGATCTTTACTTTTATCTACTCAACATTTCACAGGAAGAGTCTCTAGATGATCTGCATCCTGATGAATTTGTTGGATAAAGGTCATGTTTGTTAACTTTCACATACACTATATGAATGTGACATTGTTCAGTGTTAAAGGCAAACTGAACTAAGAATATAGTAAAGTGACTCACAAAGACAGATGGTGTGATATTGATAGCTGTCCTCTTAAAATCTGGGTGGAAAGTAACCAAGTTTTTAATATTCAAGTGCAGCTTATGAATGTGAATTGTAAGGTTTTTTTTTTTGTTTTTTGTTGTTTTTTTTTAAGAGAACAAGTAATCAAGGGCACAGACGGCCAAATCAGCCTTGAATTGTAATGTGTTTTGCGCATAAGTCTAAGACAGTCATGAGTGACTTAGCTTTTTTCCTCTCTGCACATACAGTATCCGGGAGAACTGATAGGGGAAATGTCAAGTCACTCAAGGTTTTATTGAAGTTCTGTAATGGGGACAAGATGGTTGAAGCCTGATTTGACACCACAGACTTTAAAATGTAGGATCTAGTTCTCTCTTTTTTTGGGAGGAGGGGTTATTTTCCACAAATCCCATACAGAGACTAAAACCATTAATGAATTTCATACACTCATAGTAATGCCTGTGAGTCCACAAACTGATTTATTGTTTTGTCACACTACACATAAACTGAGGCTCTAGCGCAGTAATATGAACAGAACACACATTTTTCAGAGTAAGAAACGTGAAATCCAGTGCAGTAGTGTGGCTCACTGGTGTGTTTTTAATAGCTTCCAGAAAACAATGGAGCTCTGTGATAAATACGCTAAACCAGGATTTGGATTCACAGATGTGGCGAGTAAAAAGAAAATATATATATATATTGCTGATATTAATTTCTGTATGGGATTTGTGGGAAAAAAAAATCACTGGCCTTATCCTTTACATGCTTGTATATGGATCATGCAAATAATTGATAATATTTATATAGTTTATTATTAGAACTTGTCTATCATTTTTAGTCTTTAAACTTGTTTTGCTACTGTAACACTAGAATTCATCTATTTACACTTCAGTTTAGTGGCATACAAACTTCACAGTGTGGTGAGTCCTTCCAAATGTTTAATACTGTGGGAGGGGACAGTGGCTCCTTAATGCTTGTGTTTTCACTCTTGTATGCATTTTATCCTTATGGGCCACCACAATGGACAGATGTCTTCAATCAGTAAAGTCAAAAAACCCACACACTGTGCTAAGCTCCCGACAGTTTTAATGAAGCAGCAGCAGTGTTTCAATCTAAGAAAGATCTTCATCAGGCATTGTCAAAATCAGTGAAGTTACATAACCAAATATAATTGGATTGAATGGGTGTGTTTTCGGTGACTATGTGGACAGTGTGTTTTGTGTAGGCTATTAAACAACTGTGCTTGTTAAAAAATGGAAAATGTTATACACTGGTCTAATGTGCTCAGCTGGTACCACACCATAGAATTTGACTGCACCTCTCAGTCAGCCAGTGCTATGAGGAATGCACAAAAGACACTTGAGGCTTAGATAGTGTTTTCACAAACAGGAAAGCTCAGTCATCTTTTTAGATATATTGTATTTACTGTGACCAGAAAGCATGAAATGTACATGTCAAATTCCTACTAAAGAAACCGCTCCCAGCTGTCAAATGATGGATCTTAAACCCACATGTGGTCAGAACAGAGACCTTGGGTGGCTCCACACTCGACCTATTAAAACCAGCTTCCCTCAGTACCGGTTGAGATCGCACATGCCCATATACAGTATGTTTCCTTACAGAAGAATGAGACAATTATCAGGTTAACTTCATCTTTAGAAAATGTATGCGACTGATTAAGTATTTTTCAGTTCTTTTTAGCAACTTTTTGAAAAAAGAAAAATATATGGAATAATGCTCATCATATCCTGTATGTGCAGTGTGATCAAGATTTTCACTGTTTCTGCATTAAAAGGAAAGGGGGTGCTTGATCTTTTTAAAAGGTCACTGTTGTACCGGGTAAATGCACATTGGGTCTGCAGACATTTGTGTTATGACATCCTACTTACAGCTCAACAGACTACAGCATCTGCAAATATTAATCATGGCAGACTCATCATAAAACATTGCAAAGCTGAACTGTGATAGTCCACAGTTGAGTGACCTCTAATTACAATGCATTGGACACCTTTTGACAAGTTGCACAGGATCTAGCTTGGGAGAAGCCCAGTACTGAAAACAGAGTATCATTTGAAAATGTGTGCAAAGCCACTGTTCCTCAGTAATTTCTCCTGTACAAATGTGTGCTGGATTTGAAATGAATAAGATATGTCTGGCTTAAGAGTTATAGTTTCAGGTAGAGTAACAAATAGCTGAAAGCAGAAAGTATGCATATAAAAATGTACCAAGGAAGACCTTTTCAACTAAATCACAACTGCTCTTTTGGCTTTAGTTTTCTTGTTCTTCTTGTTTACCTTTAATAACGGTTGGCTAAAACTGAAACATTTGTCTGTAGTATTGATCATTCATGATAATAAGCAATAAAGTTCAAAGTAAACATCTTGAGACATTAATTAGTTTAACTTTCTAAAAACCATCTTAATCTGCTTCTTGACGTGTGGTTTGATCACATTTGACCCACCAAGTGTCAACAGAGACTGAGGGCTAGTGAAGTGTGGATCATTTGTGAGATATTGACACTTCTGATCCCAGTGTTTTGTTTTCTAGGATCAATTAAAAGATAGATATCTAAAGTAAGTTGACTAATTGGGGTAAATGCATATTTTATCTTCAACAGGAGACATGGGAGACAGTAACAATGCTATCACCTGGACAGTCTAAATAATACCTGCTTGATGAGAACTACTTCTCCTTCTTCCTGTCATAGTCATGTGAACTGCTGCTCTGTAAATGCATGAACCACCACAAAGTAAGGAAAAACGTGTCTCGGCAACAGAGCGGATGTCTTATGCAGTTGCTGGATGGAGGGACATAAACAACCAAGATGGCATGTAAAGGGTCCCTGCATGTATGTAGTCTGGACGTGGTCCCGCCACCAGCAATTTAGTATCTGGGCTGCAGAAACATCCCTTCAGAGTATGTGAGCAGGGTGGCACCATTTGTTGTTAATGAAAGTGACAAGCCCTTAAAGATACACCCTATATCTCCTGTCCTACATCAATCTCTGCTGTCTGGGCCCATCTCTTTTCCCTTGTTCTTTTGCACAGAATATTGGTATCTGTATTGGCGTCAGCGATACCAGCCTGGATTTTACTTGGCATTGGATCAGAAAGGAAATAAGTGGTATCGCACATCACTACTGAGGTCTCTGTTTTACTGAAACAGGGCATAGAGGCAAAAGCAACCCTAAACTCAAGGCAAAGGTGCATATGGTTGTGTCCAGCAGTTTTCTGCAGTGTTGATGACCACTGGCATTTCCACATACTTGGGCACAGGCTGCACTATGGAAGCTGTTAAACTTGTTTGTGAGGTGCAGAGTCACCATGAACACATCTATGGAAATACAGTCTACAGTATGAAATGTGGTGACAAAATATTCTTTCCCCATATCTTCCTCTCTTACCAATGATGTACTCCATTCCTAAATTGTGATGAGGAAAATATGTATCGTACAAGTACTGCACATAAATATTCACCCGGTAATCAGCTTTTGTGCACAGAAGAAAGAAAGACTCTGGTCTAATAACCAGCAGCAATTATATAGCCTAATTTACTCACAGCTGCATCCTATAAGAACAGATGGTGCTTCATGATGTGCACCAACCCTTTTTAACTGTATTCATATCAATGGCCGCATACTGAGGACTAGTTTATTCATCCTTTTTGAAAATAATTGTTTTATATTATCACACATTTAATAATTCAGAAAATTTCAGAGTTTTTCACAGTGAAGTCTTGCAGATCAGTTGTAGATTCAAGGGTTAATTTTAAGTTGGTATGGTTGGTTAAAATAAATTAAGGTGCCTGCTCTCGTGCTTCCCACCCTATGCTGTTTTTAAGAAAATTGCCATGCAACAGCATTTGTGATAAAAGGTGGTCTGAGTAGGCTTTAAAGCAAACACAATTCCTGTTCAAAATGAGCACCAGTCTCAACTGCTCCTCTCCTCCCACCTCATTTTAAGTATATTCATTTGTGGCAGGAAGATACCAAACATACAAATGCACATTTAAAGACCACATCTGTAGCAACATCAGCGTTGCATTGGCTGGACATTTTTAGGTTTCTTAAAGTTCTAATTTTAAAGATTTGAATCCTGAGTAGCTTGTGATACATTAGTGGTTACGTGATATAAAGGCAATCAATATAACATGCATCATAGATTTTGCATACAGCGTTTCATTTAGTGTGTACTTACTGTGCATGTGTTTTAAAGCTCAAACATCTCTGAGGACTCATCAAATCTTTGCTTTGAGTAAAGATGGTCAACAGTGTCATTCAGCACTGAAACACTTGACAGTTAATTGTACATTGTGTTCCGGGGCGTGTTAAATGTGTGCACGCACCGACTTTGGTCTTCTGCATCATATCCACTATGTATGCATTCATGATTTTCCTGTGTACATGGTAAATTTGAGTTCTGTGCCACAACAGAGTTCATCAGTAAAAGAGCAATTATACTGAATCATTATTTCTGAAAATATATTGTTCACAAATAGGATGTAATGAATTTTGAAATAACAATTTATGGATTCATTTTATGTCAGAGTATGTGGGTGGCAAGTACTATCTTGAACACATGCACACATTCTGATAGGAAAAACTCCTCACTTCATCCAAGGGCACTTTTGAACTGCAGTCCTTCCAAGGTGTCATTAGTTCAGCTTTTCCTTTGTGCTACATGTATATCTAGCATGATAGCTGTTGAGACAGAATCATTACCTGTAACAGCTGGCCCTATATCTAAAGAGTGTACCGTGGTCTCTGAAGGGTGGCACACCTTGCTCAAACAAATCAAGTATATTTTGTTGTTTTAATGGCCACTACATTAGGAAGAAAATCACCTCAGGTTTTTTAGAGCTGAATCTCAAATTAACTTCGACCAGTCTTTTTCCTGGTGCTTACTAATAACAACTAGAGATGCACATCATTAATTCATGAGTGGTGGGGGTGGCAGTTGAGATGTTTTGATGCCTCAGAGGATGGTAATTAAACACGGCTGTTTCCATGCAGTAAAGTACGCTTGCACTGTGGTGTCATGGGAGATGAAATGTGTCTGTTGATGCTCATAAGAGCCCAGTAAATTAATGCAGCCCTGAGACTTGCATGTATGTTAACTCAATCTACTCTGAGCTTCAAACAGCACATGAGACAGAGGGGGATCAAACATATCTTTCCCTTGGGTGTTTTGACAGGCATCTTACTCTCAGCTGGTTTTATGACATACAGTTTGCTTGAAGGTGTGCTGCATGCTCAAGACCAAAGAGCATATTTAGCCTGCTGTTAATTTACTGTTGTGCTATATATATATATATATAGCACAATTACTCCACTGCTGTCCCAAATTAGTTATAACTACATTTGTACACCAAGGCAAGATAGGCAAGCTTTTATTTATCTAGCACATTTGAAACAGAGGCAGTTTAAATTGTGTTACATACTGTAGGCAAAGAAAACTATTAACATTTAAAAACTAGAATAAGCTCAATTAAGACAAAATGAAATTGGATACAAATGCTCTTAAAGGATAAGGCTGATCATTTTCTATATTAATAGTATTTTCAGCAATCTCTGTAGATAGACTAAAACTGAATGAATTGCTTCTACTCACAATTAATATCTGTCAGCATGTCAGTCCTGGATTAGCCTATTTGTTTGTGCCACAGACCTTCATTATTGTCCAAAAACAATTAAATACAGCCCCCTCCCCCCCACAAAAATCCAAGACCAGGCTATGTTGCCCCAAACTGTCCAAGTGGCCATAAATTCCTTAAATTGCACAAGTCAGAGTCAACTGACATGACAACATGTGTGAGCTCTTGCTTGAGCTCTCAGCTTTGTTTACATTCCGCTAGCAGCTCACTTTCAGGTCTGGTGTTTGCTAATGAGGAAACATGTGACTCTAGTGCAGCGGTGTGTTTCACTGATCGTTCTTGAACAACAGAAAGCTACAGCACAGACGAATAAGCTGATCCAGGACTGACACACTGATGACATTAACCTTGAGTAAAGATGATTCATTTTCAGTTTTAGTGTCTGTATGGGAAGTGTTGGAAAATAATAAAAAAATGGCTGAGCTTATCCTTTAAATTAAATACAATACATAAAATGAATAGAACATTTAAAATACTTGTATAACAAATGTAACAATGTTGCATTGGATTGGTATATTTAACATGAAAGGTAGTGCGTGCTATAAAGAAAACATTACAGAATTGCATGAGTATGAAATACTAGATTTTTTTTTTTTTTTTTTTTTACTCATGCAATGTAATTCACTTTTGTACAGTTCACCCATATTGTCAGTATGTTTCAGGCAGCCATATTTTTGACACAACCCTATTGTCAGTCAGAAACCTCAATGCGCTTCTGAAAAACCCTGGATTACAGTGGAGGAGGATGTCTTTTTATATCTAATGCCAAATTTGTCCAGTTAAATGAAATAAATGCTTTTTGCTCATGGCAGTTATGGTTGGGGAGTGATTGTGATTATAGCAAACACAGTATTGTACAGTAAAAGTTTGACCACTCTAATATGCCTATGGTGAAAGGCATGAGGCCCTTACAGGGTAAAACATGGAACACAGCTATTTAAATGTAGGTATCATAAAGAGCCTAATGATTACAAGCAGGGGACATCTAGACGGTGGAAACCCTAAATAATTTAGGGCATACGAGCCACAGAACATACACGATGCTGCAAGAATATTTTTGTCAGAGCTGCTGCGGAAGTCCTTTCAAGACTAAAGAATTTCAAGTGGCTTCCCTGGCTGCAAGCTTTAATTCCAACCAATTTGTACAGCTACTGATTTTAATAATGGGTTTCTGTTACTTAGCTAAAGGTGTAATAAATGGTGAACCAATGTAGCGGCTGGCTTGGATTAAAAAGAAAAAAAAAAGCTTGCAGAATCCTCACCTTCCACAGGACACTGTTAACATGCGCATCAAGAGCAAGCTCCCGATTTCCACAGAAAGGTTACTGGCATGAAGCGGGGTGGTGGCTGCTCTCTCTCCAGAGAGATAGAGGAGCGTTGTGGAGATGTGGTCATGTGACTCAAAAGTACCATGTCATGTAGGTAAAGAGGCCTCTGCAAGTCGAATTATGAAGATAAATTGCCAGTGATTCATTTGCAGCTTATGTATTGGATACAATAAGTGGAGCTGAAAGATGATCATCTGGGTCAAACTGCTGGTACAGAACAGGGTCTGGATTTCTGGAGATTGATTCTTGCAGAGGCAACTTGAAAAACAATGCATCACTATTGAAACTGTGTAGTGGTGCATTGATGAATTGGATGACCACAAAGCATTATTTTTCTCTGATGTGTTTCAAAGCAATAGGTTCAGAGGCTCTTTGTCATTGCTGTCTTGCACCAAGAGAAACTCATAGAAAAATGCTTCCTCAGTATTGTTCCAAATGTGATGGAGAATAAGCTGAAATAAGGTCCTGAGGTGCACTCTGGTTTTTTACATCCTCAGTCACAAAAGTGATGAACATCAGAGGAAATGAATCATATTACATGCTTTCATCTTAGTTGTGCAGATTACTTTATCAAAGCTGCTTATACGCAAACGAGTGAATGTATCCTCAACCTGTTGTTTCTCTAACCTGTCATACAAAAAAGAAAAAAAGCATGGATGATTTAACAGGAGGACAGTCCATATCCTTGGAAGTTTGAAAAAAATTAGATCAGTAGGTTTTGATTTGTGACCTCTGTTGTTCTTCAAGTGCACATATGTGACAGAGAGAAGCAAAAATCTGTCATACCTAAATCACTTAAGTGCCTTGTGAAAAAAACAAGGTTGTCCAAGAAAACATAAATATTGAAAGAAACCACTGGACTGTTGAGACACCATAGTTTCACATTTAGGGGGATATTTACTAAACCTGCTGCAAACTATCAAGTGTGCAAAATGCTGTGCCACTGCAGTTTTTCAATTTAAGGGAGTATTTGTCAACACTAATAATGTAAATGAGTTCAGCTGCAGCAGTGTTCATTTGAATACACTTTCACTTGGAAGGACCGGGTGCATGTGTGGACCAGGATGGAGCGTAAAAGAAACTGTTTACTGTGACTTAAAGCTACAATCAGGGTTAATTCTAAATCTAGCTAGCACTAGCATGAGACACTAGAATCAGACTAATTGGTGGCTTGTGTATGAACTTGCCTGGATGTAACTGGCTGATTATTATAACTGAAAGTAGCAACACAGTGACATCCTTAGCTTAGGCAGCTGCTGTTACAGACACACTGGATGTGCAAATCACATGTTCTGGCAGGATTTAGCTACAAGCACAAAGGGTAATGGTTTGAATCCTTATGGTATTATTATAAATAATAAATTCACAACATACCACTCAAGCAGAAAGAATGCCAAATCAGTGTCCATTTGTAAATCCCTCTTCTCTGTCAACTCCCTGCATCTGCTGAAAACCATGTCAATTTAACTTCTTCCTTCTCTTCAAAAATCATTTCTTTTCCTTTTTCAAGTAGCTGTCTCAGCTAACACTGAAATCAGTAGCTTGCTAGCCTGCGACCATGCTAATAGAGCCGAAGCACGTTCACCTTTTGTTTGACAGCCGTGAGCTCCCACCTATGATTGGTCGAAAAGCTTTAGAAAGGAATATCTCTGCTCTGCTGCCAGGCTGTTTAATGGTTCTGGGTGAAAGGAGCCTTCGATAGCAATTCTCCCCATTAAAATAAGTTTTGAGGAATGTTTCCACTAAAAAAAAAATTGAAAATTCTTACATACTGAGGCTTTAATATGGTTGAAGAAACCAACAAACATATTTCAGAACTGCAATCACGTAGACTTCTTCCAGCCAAATCGTCTTTCATTTTATTCAGCAACTGAAGAATGGTATGACATGAAAGCCTGGAGGCGTCCCTCACATTCTCCTCTGGTATCTCAAAAAGAGAGATGTGATTTACAAACACCCTTTCCATTCCCAAATGTGTTCTGAACTGCAATGACCTCTCAAATGAATAACAGCTGTGCCATGCTGACAGCAGCAGCAAATTTTAAACCTGCTTTATCTTGACCTTAGATATAAGCTGCAGTTTCATCTGTGGCACTGATCAGTCTGCAGTTGTGAATCAGGTGTATTGTTTCCATTCTCTCCTCCCTTATTGTGCATCCATGAACAGTAACACCTTAAAATACATATTGCATATGATTAAACATGCAACTTCCAGCGGTGCTGCTTTTCTTCTTTTTTCCACTGCAAAAGCTAACTGCAACTCCTTGGTAATAATGAACACATGAAATTTCACTGTAGCTGCAAAATCATAGTAATTATGCTCCTTAGTCTCAGACGTCCTCCTTTTAAGAGGTCTTGTGGCAGTATACTTTAACAGTATCATACTAAACCAGCTGTTTTAATCGTTTGATAAAGGATCCACGCTATTATTTTTTGTCATTAAAGACTGACCAGAATACGGGTCAGCGTACAAGTAGCAGGGTGTCCTACTATATAAATATAGCAATACGTATAAACTAAAAAATCTGCTGTTTCCTTGTTCCTTTGATTGATTGGTTTTCTGCTGTTCATTGTATTTTATCTCATTTTAACAGTATTTTATTTTTGTCTGAATTTAGTTTTTTGTTGCTTGTCATTATTGCCATTCTAATGCTTTGCTTATATAAACCACTTTGAATTGCCTCTGTTTGAAATGTGTTATATAAATAAAGTCACCTAGCCTTTATGTGGTGAGGTAAATTGTAAGGGTGTGGAGATTGTGTTGCTGGATGGGTGTGCAGTGAATCCAACTTTAATTTAGGAGAGTGGATTTGCATCCCATAACACAACATTAATTAATATTTCACTTTTTATTAACTATAATTTAGTTCTTTCTAAACATTTACCAAATGAATAAGGTTTGTTAGTTTTGCAGTAACATGATTTTTCATAAACTTGTCCATAGAGTAGTTACCTTCACTGATTTAATGGAAAGCAAGGATTTTTTTTTTTTTTAAATGTCTGCACTGGATTTAAACATTAGTTTAGTTTAGAGTTTTGTAGGACAATTTAATATTGACATTCATCTTTCTTTATATGGATAACCATCCTAGGGTGACAATGCAAAGGTTCTGTGAAAG